TGAACTCTCTCATGCCCTCTACAAGTCATCGTAGCTTCTTCCAGCCTTCTCACTGTCTGCTTAAAGCTCCTATAGTTCTTCATTCCCTACAAACCATTCAAAAAAAAATAAAATTACAGTTCTTTTGTGAAAATTTTATCTTTTTCAGCTTATTGCACTTCAATGCCCCCAAAAAATTTCTCTTTTCTCACTTAATGGTCAAACTTTGGGCATTAAAGTGCAAATTAGGGCAAAAATACCATGCGATCTTGGAAAATGTTGGCGCCGCCGGCGACGGCCTGGCCGGCGTGGTGGACGACGGTGTCGGCGCCATGGTTTCTCGCATAGCTCTTCATCTTCATCCATGCTCGACGTTTGATTGAGGAGGGGGAGGGATCGCGGGGGATTTGTATGAGGAGGGCGAGGGCGGCGAGGGAGGGGGAGAGGATCGGGGAGGGAGAGGTTGAGAAATGGCGGCGATGGAGGCGGTGGAGGCGGAGGAGCGTTAACATTGGCTTGAGCAGCTTTTAAATTGGGAAGAAGAAGGGTAAATTGGGAAGAGATTTTCTTGGGCAGTGGGTTTGGGAGTTGGTAGCACATATCTCTCAAGTTTAGGGATTTTTGGTTATGGTCTTTGGGCTTGGGGTGGGGATGCATGGCCCAATTTAATTAGGTTCCCCCAAGCAATTTTCCCTTAATTTTTTAATCCGTCTCTCTTTTTTTTTCCCCCTCTTTTTAGATAAAGGCCGATTTGCTTCGATGAATCACGCTATCATTAGCAGTCTAAGTAGATTGGTAAATCTAGAGTTGATGAGACTTAAACAGAGTCATTTTAAATGACGCTAGGCATTATTTTTAACCAAAAATCTATATCTATTAGGTATTGGCTCCAATTTTTATTTTAAACTCATCAATTTTATTATCCTATCCGATGTTGAACTATACTCACATATTAATATAACCTCAACACTACCACTTGTAGAGCATAATTATTAGTAAAATTTATTTATATTACGAAACTAAACTATATTTTTTATTAAATTGATAAATTTATATGGCGTGAATTGAAATCAGCCTAGGGTTGCTACATTTGGGCCCATATCTCAAGTGGGCTTTCTTTTCATGGATCAAACTTTAGGCCAGCCAGAGAAAGAGGGTTCGTTTAAAAACCAAATAAATCCATATTTAACGACACGTACAATTTCTTCAAATGTTAAAATACATTGGTATTTTACTTGATTAATGAGGACAACGGAACTTTTTATTAAAGAGTTCATTTATTTAATTGAAAAAAATGCATAGTTTCGTTAGTATTTATAAAATATATTAGCATATATACGTGAAATAAGAAAAATATATCAATTATGCGTATGCCTGTATATATATACATTGCCATACATATGTCAAATAAGATAAGCAAATACATTGAATACATAAGTTATTATTAGATTGTGTGTTTTTCTTATAGCAGTACATTAAATGTTCAATAATTCAAAATTATTCTCTCAAACTAGTAAAATGGCTAGTAGGTCCTCCAACTCTTATATCTTGCTGCTCCTCTTCTTGATTGGAGAGATTAAATATGACAATTTACAAGAAATGGAGGATCTAATAAAAATTTCAATCACTTGAGTGACTAACTCATAAGAATTGGGAGACCTAATAGTAATTTGAATGATTTAAGGATCGAATATTCTATTTAGATTAGCCAATTAGTATCTAATTATTTGAGAATTATTTTTGGTAGCCCACATTTTGCTTCACGTAGACAAAAGAAATACCCACAGCTAGCAATTATAACAATAATAATAATATATACTGGATACAGCTGTTGAAGTGTCGCTTGAATACTACAGCCAAAAATAACAGGTTTATGGAAGCGTGACCTGTTGCTTTCCGCCGAAAAAAGCTGTTTAATTATTTTTAATTCTTGAGATTTTTTTATTTACTACATACAAATTATTTCCAATTTCTTATTTGTATGCTGACTGCGTCTTGCCGCCAGTATACAAGATGTCAGCGGCTATGTTAGTTGCTAATTACCTACCATAGTTTTATATATAATTCTGAAAAGGTTAGAAGAAACGAATGTGCAACATGCTATCAAATTTATTTTTGTGTTTTTTTAAATCATGTGTGTTTGTATAGCTTTTTCATTGTCAACCATTATTGTTTTATAGAATCAATTGATTTTGTATTTAGATAGTTAGTAGTTGCGATCAAAGTATTACTGATCGTTCGACTTTTTTTGGCAGTGGAAGGGGCCTAAATTATCATGGGCTTTTGTGTTTATATACTTGGAACATGTGTCAAGAATGCTGTTGGGTAAGTTTTACAAAATCCCTCTTTAGTTTGGCATAACACCCCTAGCTTTTAAAATGTCACGTGTGTGTGAACTGCAATTTTCATTGGGCCCCCTCAAAAAAAAAGAAAAAGAAAAAGAAAGTTTTCCTCAAGTTTGGGTTTCCTAGAAAATCCTCTTTAACTTTAATAACATCTTAAAAGAGTGAACTGTGATTTTCACTAGCAAAAATATTATACTATACAATTTATCCACTCATATAAAACTTGCAGATGTCTTTTTTGAAAATTTGGAAAGTTAAAGGGCCCGGGGTTATCTGAGAATCCTAATTATTAATACTATTATCATTTTTTTGGGGGGGGGGGG